AGTTGAAGATTATTTTTGAGACTTTTTGAAATACTTGAACAATAAAGTACTTAAGGTTTATTGAATTGTTATTGGCTTGAGAGTTGTGATTGATGTTTATTTGGAACATTCGCTTAAACACTCTCTTTGAAGTTATTCATGCTTTCTACCTTGCTTGTTATTGATATACATGTGCTTGGTCAGAAGCGTGTAAAGCACGAAGGGTGATGTCGTGCCATTTCATAAACATTATCATGTGAGGAAGAGTGTAAAGTACGAAGGGCGATGCTGTGCCATTTCATATACATTTTCATGTGAGGACGAGAGTAAAAGCACGAAGGGTGATGCCATGGCATTTCATTTATATTATCATGCTATCATTTACATTATCATGTGAGGATGGGAGTAAACGGACGAAGGGTGATGTTGTGCCATTTTATTTATATTATCATGCTATCATTCACATTATCATGTGAGGATGAGAGTTAAAGCACGAAGAGTGATACCGTACAAATTATCATGTTATCATTTACATTATCATTTGAGGATAAGAGTAAAAGCACGAAGGGTGATGTCATACTGTAACGACCGGACCAGTCGTTTTGAGTTCTAGTGCGTCGTTCGGCAGTTTAACGCCATGAGCAGCTTCACTTCAGGTATTAAGACGTGTAACGCGTGGTCAGAATTGAAATTCGGGAAATTCGGAGTTGATTTGGAAAGAAAATTCTCATTTCGGAAGCTTTAAGTTGGAAGAATTCGCTAAGGTTGGATTTTTTATTAAATGACCTTGAAATTTGGATATGAAGATTCTAACAAGTTCGTATGATGATTTTGGACTTGGGCGTATGTCCGGATCGGGTTATAGATGACCCCGGGAGCATTTCGGTGCCTATTGTGGAAGTTAGCATTTTTGGGAAGAATTTTATAAATTTGGGTCGAAGAGCATTTCAATGTTATCAATATCCGTTTGGGATTCCAAGCCAAAGAATAGCTCCGTATGATGATTCTGGTATTGGAAGCGTGTCCGGAAGTGGATTCGGAGGTCCATAGGTCATTTTGGACTCATTTGGCTAAAGTTAGAAATTTGAAGGTTTTTAAGAAGTTTGACCGGAAGTGAACATTTTGATATCGGGGTCGGATTTCGATTTCAGAAGTTGGAGTAGGTTCGTAATGTCAAATATGACTTGTGTGCGAAGTTTGAAGTCAATCGGACGTTATTTGATAGGTATCGACATTGAATATAGAAGTTTGAAGTTCTAATGTTCATTAAGCTTGGATTGGGTTGCGATTCGTTATTCTGATGTTGTATGATGTGATTTGAAGGCTCGACTAAGTTTGTAATGTGTTTTGGGACGTGTTGGTATAATTGGTTAAGGTCTTGAGGGCCTCGGGTGGAATCTGGATGGTAAACGGATCGAGTTGGACTTGGAAGAAAGGCTGAGGGATGTTGTCACGTGGTGTAACCGCACCTGTGAGGTTTTGGCCGCAGGTGCGGAGCCGCAGAAGCGGCCATGAGGGTCGCAGATGCGATTTTGGCGAGGAAGAGCTGAGACCACAGATGCGGTCATCTCGCCGCAGAAGCGAGACCGCACCTACGGAAAAGAAGGCGCAGAAGCGAAGCGGGCATCTCCGCAGAAGCGGATAATTTGCCGCACATGTGTAACTGCAGAAGCGGTCAGGTGACCGCAGGTGCGAGTCGCTGGGCAGAGGAGGATTCTTACAAGCGGAATGTGGCCCATTTTTCTCCCATTTTCATTTGGTTTAGGCGATTTTGGAAAGCTTCAAGGGGAGATTTTCTTCAAGCATTTCAAGGTAAGTTGTTCCCACTTGTTATAACTTAAATACATGGTTTGTATAAGGATTTAAACATGAAAATTAGTGGAAATTGTGGGGTTTTAGTAGAAAACCTAGAATTTGGTATTTTTGAATTTTTACCACAAAATTGGACATGGAATTTGGAATAAGTTATATATTTGAGTTCGTGAGGTTATGGATAAACTTTATCTTCGAAAATTTGCGGAATCCGGGCACGTGGGCCCGAGGGTGATTTTATCGACTTTTCGAACGGAGTTGAGAATTGTTGTAAATAGGATTATAATGAGTATTAGATTATATATTTATTGATTTGCTCATTTATTGACTAGTTTTGAATCGTTGGGCATTGATTTGAGGGGATTGAATGGCTTCGGAGCCGGTTATGGAACTTCGGAGCGAGGTAAGTCTCCTTTATAACCTTGTAAGAGGGAATTAACCCCATAGGTGAACTAAATTATTATGTGTTTCTGTTTGTGGGGGCTACGTACGCACGAGGTGACGAGAGTCCGTACGTAGCTACTAGCTATGCCTATGTCGGGGTAGTTTTAGGCTTACATCATGCCTTGTTGATATTGTCATTAACTTATGTTTATTATTTGTCTTGAGAAGAAGAGAGATTAGGTTAGCTTGTTAAATGTTTTGAAACGAGCTGAAATTGAGGAAAAGTTGGGAACTTAAAAGTTTTCATTCAAAATTTGTAATTTAAAAAGATTTGAAGAATACTTTAATAACTTAAGAAGTCTATGTGTAACCGCGTCGCATGTATGTTTCGCGAGCAGGGTGATTTCCTTAAAAAAACTACAATCAGAATTTCCCTTATTTTGAAAAGAATCAAGAAAGAGATATAATATTAATGTTAAATTTATATTTGACCGCGTCGCACGTATGATTCGCGAGCGGGGTGTTTCCTTCTACTACTCTTGTGGGATCCGGCCCGTCACGACCCAAACCAATAGGCCGCGACGGGTGCCCAAGTCCTACCTGTCGAACACCCTTAAGCATGAATCTATGATATAAACATGAATAACATCTGCTGAACTACGAGAATAATATACGTGAGGAAACCTGTCCAAAAGACATATATACATACACGTGCGAAATACGTAGGGCGAGCCGACAAGGCTTCTATAGAAAACTACATATCCAAAACTAGTAGCCGACAAGGCCACATACTACCCAACTATACATGACTGTCTACGGACCTCTAACATAATATACAAATGTACAAGGACGGGACTGAGCCCCGTTATACCCATCTATGTATACAAACATATCGTACCAAAATGCAAAGCAGCTCCGGATCAAATGGAGCACGCCAACTCTCGCTGATCAAGGATCCTAAGAAGGGGGACCGGCTGCTTGTCTACCTGCACCTACGGGCATGAAATGCAGGGCCCGAGAAACAGGGCATCAGTACGAATAATGTACTGAGTATGTAAGGCATGAAAATCATTACATAAAAGACATAGATGGAACATGGAATAAAGAATTTCGCATGTAAGTCTAAATAGCTTTGTAAATCCTGAAACATTTATAATGTCATGCACGTGCGTATAAATGTCGTGTCATGCATAGGTATAGGTGTTCATAACATCATCAAGCCTCTGAGGGCATCCCATCATATCATCTCGGCCACTGTGGGCAAAACCATCAACATGTACCAGTTGATCAGGTGGTGGTGCGTACATAACGCCGTAACATTTTCCAATATGTATATGGGATATGGGAAAAGGTTACGACGTTTCAACTTCCTTGCACCTTAGATTTCCTTATGTTATTCTGGAACATCAAGCGAGACATCACGTCGTCACACTACTTTTGTCAAAGGTGGTGAAAGAGAAGAAAATCCCTTTACAAGTTTCATGTAATAACCTGCCAAACCAAGACAGCTACGAACCTCAATCGGTGTCGTGGGTATAGGTCAAGTCTTTTCTGCCTCAATCTTTTGTGTATAACCCGGATACCTTTACTTGAAATAATATGCCCAAGGAAAGCTATAGAACTCAACCAGAATTCACATTTAGAGAATTTTGCATACAACTTTCCTTTTTGTAGAACTCTGAGCACAGTACGCAAATGATCTGCATGCTCAGTCTCTGAACGAGAATACACCAATATATTATCAATAAATACAATTATGAACATATCTAGAAAGGGTTTGAACACACGGTTCATCAAATCCATGAATACTGCTAGGCCATTCACTACAACAAAAAGGGGCTTTAGCGGCAATAAAAAGGGGCATTGGCGGCAATAACAATTGCCGCTATACCATTTACCGGCAATTGATGTTTAGCCGCTGATATCAGGGTCGGCAAAGCCTTTAGCGGCATTTTTCACAAAAGCTGGTAAATGACTGACTTATTACCGCTAAATATCATTTGCTTTAACGGCAATTATTTGCGGCAATTATAATGGCTGCTAAATCCAATCTAAAATGGCTACTAATGCTCTTTTTACGTCCATTTTTATAGCCACTAAATTCAAAACATTTTTCGCTAAAGGTCCATACCTTTAGCGATAATTGTATTGTGGCAATTAGAATGGCTATAATATTCCTTCTGAAAACGAATTAGTATGCCCTTTAGACATCAATTATAATGGTTGGTAAATTCAATTAAATCGCCGCTAAAAATCATCTTTAATAGCAATTATAATGGCTACAATATCCCGTGGAAACATCGTAATTTACCCTTTTATCGTCTATTTTTATAACCAGTATATTCTGTTAAATTGTCACTAAGTCACAAGCTATAATGACAATAGTTTAGCCACCATTAATAATAGCTACTACATTCATTCAAAAAATGATCCAAATAATAAAATATAATAATATTGATTCATAAAAATATAATGTATCTCATTAAATCTTAACAAACAAAAGGAAGTACTAATCCAAAATAGTAATATCACAGTAACTTAAAAAATAAATTTATATTGCTTGAAGCAAATAGCTATTGTCATTATATAACTAATCCTAACAAATAATAATCTTCAAATAATTTCTGCAATGCTTCATCATTTGGAAATCTTTCACCCGCCAAATTATCGATCATCAGACTGTATGACCTGAAATTACAAAATAACTATGTCAATAGATGAAATATAATAGTCTTTAACTGGGATGTTTATCGAGCAAACTTTGCCCCAAGCTAAAGTTATTTTACTGTAGAATGACAGTTCCATTTTTTCTATAGAATAAGACATTACAAATCCGACTGAAACAAATCAAACTGCAATAGTGTAAATAAGAAGTAAATTAGAGAAATTTGCAAGATATCAAGCAAATATGTAAGAAGCATAGAAGAGTCTTTTCTTTTGATGGCTGTATAAGCAAACCAAAGTCATTGAGATCCTAGTGTACATGGAGTATTCACGAGTAAAACAAAGACAGCGGCAAAACCAAGTTGCAGCACGGATTGCTCTTACCCAGCCAATCAACCAAAATTTTTGCAGGTGCTTGGAAAACCTACTCAGTGCAAGCAAGCATATTCCAAGGCAGACTGGAGGATCTCCTTACAATTGCATATTTCATTATTAGACTTGCATTTATTAGCATGCGTAGCTTTTAGAGAATGACATCAAGATGCCTAAGCCTGTGCTAAACAATTGCATATTTCTTTCATCAAAATTATATTGATTAAGTGAAGCCAAGTCTTAAGAGCAGAATGACGGAAAAATGTGACATAAGGTACACATCATGCTTGGAGGTTGCCCACACCAAGTTCCTCAGCTACATTGTGAAACAAACAAAAAAAAAGCTTCAGATTTATTGTGACAAAATCATAAGTTAACTTGCCTAAAAGAATAAGATAATTTACATTGACATGCACAATTCTATATCAGCATTCAACCTAGTTCGTTCACTCCATAATAATGTCGTCTTCAAGTAACCCTCAAACATATTCTTAATCTAGTTCCTTCCATACAATGTAAATAACCAATACTAAAGAAAAAGGTAAAGAGGCTAGAATTACCTGGAAGTGTAAAATTGTTGATTTAACAGATCTTGAATTACGTCTGAAGTCATAGTACGAAGCCTCTTTGTTTGTGGCTTTGCAGTCCTGTTGAAAGCAAAAGGATAGAGCCACCCATGACCCTATTAGACACAAACGTCCTCACTCAGGCCAATTAGAAAACCAAAAGAAAAACACATCTATTTTACCTTCTCTGATGCCTCCCCAGATTGTGGAACATTTTCATAGTTCTTATATTGCTCTAATCTTGTTTGCCTGTATTTCTCCCTGGTTATGCTAAGTCTTTCCCAGGGAATCCCTTGAATTTCTCTACCTCTTCTTGCCTCAGCAGCAGAGGTATCTTGCATTTTATTATTCTTCAAGAAGAAAACAATTTAATAGGTTCAGATACTGAAAGCACAATCATCCAAACAAAATGAATACATCTAATATGCCCTTGTACAAAACAACTAAGATTTTATTGATGAGTTCACAAACCATGTAGTCATACTCATCTGCATCTGAATCAGAAGCATCAATATCTCTGCCATGGAACTCATCATCCATATCATCATCTATAGCTTCCATTTCATATTCATTTGCCATGTAATCAGCATCATCCTCTTGTTGATGGGACATATTTTACCCCCTACTAAATTACCTACAAACTACAAAGGTTAACCACAAAAGTTAACTACATTCAAGAATTGAACAGTGTACATTAAACAAACTTCCAAGTCAAATATAGGACAAGATACTCATAAAGCACCTCAATACTAAAGCACCAGAGCATCCATATAGAGAAAGACCAAGTTATTGTTGGCCTTTGAACACTATGTCAATCCATAAACGCATTCAGACCCAAAACAAAATGATCGGATATAATTTTTAAAGCAACAAAATCACATAAACATGGATCATGCATCATCTTCTCCTCTATCTAGGGTTCTACAAAGCCAACTCTTTATCAAATCAAAGATTCCACCCACAGGGATGGACCACAAAAAAGGCAAGCATCGGAAACACGACGACTTGCCTGGATCTGCATAACTAGTCCGCAAACCAAATGACGCCCTTAGTGTTATTTACATCTGGAAACTTGAAAAATAATTACTTCACCGACATTAAATAAAAATCTCCGATTTTCAAAAAAGAGGAGGACAGAGGGTGATGAATCTCGAGTATCCATGCCATTTCCCAGGATCTGTGAGAAATTCAAAGAATCAAAATAAGCTGTTACAGGTTCTGTTGACGCTGTTATAGTTAGGGGTTCTCAGGTTTGAAGAATGCAACAGTAGCTTAGTTGATCAAAATTAACTAGGACTTCTATAACTATATATGCTGAGCAATACGCTAATGTAGCTGGGCAGCTGATCACTAATGAATTTGAACAATCTAAGATACAACTATCAACATATGGGAAGGTGAAAAGAGCTGTGCAGGTACTTGATGCTCCAACTCCTAATGCTCAATCATCTACTGAACAAGCTGCTGCTTGTATATCATCAAAGCAGTGATTAGTCTGGACAAGTTTCAGGTGCAAAGCTTTAATGATTTTATTTTAACCAAGACACCAAAGTAGTGAACTTTTTCTCAATACTGTAACATTGGTTACTGCCTGGGATCATCCAAGATAAGTAGTGTTTTAGAAACATGGAGAGTGAATCGAAATATTTCACCTTTAGTTCAAACATATTCTGGATGGTGTTTCAAACAGTAAAAAAACTCAAACAGTAGCGCGTTGAAGGATAAAGATGAGTAATACCGTGATAAAGTGAAGTATTTTCAGCAACACTAGATATCCTTGATGTTTGTGGTGCTCGTTCGTGGTCGATGTTGGCATCAAGGACCTGATAAATATTAACAAATTAGATAACAATACGTTTTTAGGATTAAAATTTCATTAAGAATGCCTAAAACTTATGAAATCGAGTTACCTGTTCACTTGAGGTGCCATCGATATTTTGAGGCACAGGTTCTGAGAAAACAAATAGTAAAGTCACAAGAGAATGCATAAACATTGTGCAGTGATATTGATAAATATCAAGGAGATGAGAGGGAGACTATAAATGCTAAATTAGCAAAACAAAAGGAGAGTGCTGACAAAGATGTTACTGAAGGTGATAATGTTCATGTGAAACCTAAGGAAAATACTAATGCGATCACTAATCGAGTGGAGGATGAATCTAGTGTTACTATAAATTTTAAGATCGCATCAGGTGCTACTGTTGATCCTAATGCTCCTGTGATTACTAATATTGTGAAAGCATCAGAGGTGACTCATGATCAACAGCAGCTGGTGCAGTTGCAGCCTAAGGAAGTTGAATCCATCACTACTGGTGTAGTAGCTGGGGTTTTGAATCCTGCAGCACCTGGGAATGGTAATGCGATAAGTGTTACTAATCCTAAATCGAAAGGGACTGGAGGTGATGAATTAATGCTTGTGAAGGGTCAGGCTAAACTTACACGTGATGTTCCTGCTTCTATAGCCTTAGCGAGAATTTACAATGCTGTAAATCCAGTTGTACAAGCTAGGCAGATGAGTGACAGTCATGATAAAGCTGGACAAACTCCTATAGCAGCGCGATATGTTAGTGTTGCTGAAGGGATTAAGGATGATCAGAGTGAGAGGAAAGCAGCTGGACAAGCTACAAATTCCAGGACGGGACATGTTTGTGATGCTTCAAGCAAATCTATTGCAGCTAAAGATCATGTGGTTGCTGGTGTTACTACAGATTCTGTTGCTGGACAAAAATCTACAAAAGTTGGGCATCAAAATCTATGGGACAGGTGAAGCAACAAGTTGGGACAGCTGGTGATCGAGCTCTTACACCTGTGATACCAACTACACGACAACAACATGCTACTTCCCAGGTTGGGAAATCAGATGGTGTGACAACTGCTAATTCATGTGCACAAAATAATGCAGCTACTACTCCGGAAGTTGGTGTGCAAACTAAGGACAAATGGACAGTAGTGATAAGGTCTCCTACTAAGAGAAATGTTGCTCCAGGTGTGAAGAATCAGCAGCAGAATATGAGTGTTCCAACTGCTCGACAAACCGCATCAAAGGTTGTCACGAGTCCAAATAGTTTTGAAGCAGTAGCAGAAGAGGTGAACGTTGGTGTTAACTCTCTAACAGTCAAGGATACTAGATTTATACAGCAAATTACACCATATATTAGCAGTAGCAAACAGGATCAGTCAAGTGAAAATCTTTCTAAGAAGTTGGGTGTTTGACAAATTGCCTCGGAGAATAATTTGGTTGAGAACGTGGGGGATGATCAAGTAGTGCGACACAGCACTCCTAGGTTGCATTTTTCCAGCCCAGAAGTTGAAAGAATTATCAAAGAAACTCAGATTTCCATAATGATGAATGCTAATCCTATGATCAACCAACCTGTTCTATATATACTCGTTTATCTCATTCTTCTATTCTATCTATTCTCAATTATTCGATACTACTATTTTTTTTCAGATCTCACTTTGAATATATATTTTTAGTGTTTAAATATAAGTCAAAGATTATTCTGATCCTTTCAGACCTTCACATGAACAAACTAACCAGTTTCAAAATATTCTGTGAACCTTTTAGCCGCTAAAACTCCTCTTTGTAATAAGGTAAAAATCAGTAATAAGCCTAATAATGCACTAAATCACCAACTAACAATAGAGTAAAAACAATATATATATATCATACTCGGGCAAAAAGTTTGAACATGGTTGAATTCATATCTCGACTACCGGCATTCAACTAAAACATCAATATGCATCAACGACACTTAGAAAATTTCTGAAAAATTACAAAAATAACAGTAGCCTTAGAAAACAGAGGAACCAATTCAAAAACAATACAGTAACTGTGGAGGAATCAATTCAATCAATCGACCATCAATCTAACAATAGGCATATATCACAAACGACTTAGTAAACATAGAAAATGCTATACTTTCACTAATCCCAAAAGGCCATAGTTGGATGTCAAAAATCAAAAATCAAAGATTGGTACCTGATAAGCGGAAATTTTTGCCGATTAAGACAAGAAATTGAAGGAGACGAACGTTTTCCAAAATAATTCTTGAAACCTACACGAAACCAGAAGTTGAAGACGAATGAGAGGGAGAAGATTGACAGCGAAGATTGAGAATAATCGAGCAGCATCAACCAAAATTATATGTAACTCGATTAAGAACGACCTAGGATGGCCGAAGACCGTGGCAGGACGGAGGCTTTTGCAGCGATACTGTTAACGCGTAGGTTTTCCTAGCGTCTTTCTTCTGTATCGTTTCCTAACATTGTTCTTCGTTCTAATTACAGGGTTTTCCCTATTGTTTTTCTAATTGGAGGGTTTTCTAATGGGAGGGAATGTAATTTCTTGTCCCAAAAAAATGGAGGGAAAGATTTCATTTTCATTGTACGGAGGAAAAGTTAAAATAATAAAAAAAAATTAATTCAATTAATGATTTTTAGTGTCAATTTTTTTTTATTGTCGTTAAAAGGATATCTTTTACTGGCTAATAGACTTGTGCCGCTAATATTTTAGCTTAAATAATTCATTAGCGACAATTACCTTATTGCCGCTAAAGGCCTTTTTTATAGTAGTGATTAGTCAAACCGAGTGACATGACACGAAACTCAAGGTGCCTATATCTGGTCCTGAATGCTGTCTTCGGGATATCTTTCTCCATAACCCTTATCTGATGGCACCCGGACCTTACGTCTATCTTCGAAAAACACTTGGCACCTTGCAACTGATCAAATAAATCATTAATCCTCGGGAATGGTTACTTATTTTTGATCGTCACCTTATTCAACTATCTATAATTGATACACATCCGCAAGGAACCATCTTTCTTCTTCACAAATAACACAGGTGCTCCCCACGGTGATGTACTAAGTCTGATAAAGCCTTTTTAAGCAAATCCCTTAGTTATTCCTTTAACTCTTCAAGCTCTACGGGTGCCATTCTGTAGGGAGGAATAGATATTGGTTGAGTATCTGGTAGTAGGTCAATAGCAAACTCAATTTATCGCTCTGGCAGAAAACCTGGAAGTTCATCGGGAAACTCACTAACCACAGGAATAGCTTGAACAGTTGGTGACTTTAATTTCATATCCTTAACCCGCACTAAGTGATAAATGTATTCCTTTCTAATCATTGTCCTTGCCTTGAGATAGGAAATAAATGTATCTCTCGGCAATTCCGTATTACCTTTCCACTCCGAAAACAGACTCTCCTGGGAATTGAAATGGAACCATCTTTGATCTACACTCGATGTTAGCATAACAAAAAGCCAACCAATCCATACCCATTATAACATTAAGTTCTACCCAACCGAGCACCACGTACCTTATCTTAGTTTATTATCAAAATTATCACGGGCCATTACGGGCCACATCCTTATATATATGTAACAATATTAGGACTTAACTTGCATAACTAATTCAGAAAAAGGTTTATATAGATACATAGGGGTCGACAAGGACGTAGACATGTCATACCCAAAACAATACACGTGATACCGTCTGCAAAACTTCTAAGAAAACATAACCATAATATATATATATATATATATATATATATATATATATAGGGGACATGGCTCCCTACATCCTCATAAAACAACCTAACATATTCAG